GGAAACATGTCACAGCATTTCTTTCAAACTAATTACAAAAAACAGTAAGTAGCGGTAGCACCACGTGACTGACGCGACTATCAATCCTCATCCGAGAGCGGCTCATACTGCGCTGAAAGCAATGGCGCCGGTTCGGGCTGCATCTGCTCGGACTTGGTGACGGAGGCAGAGACCGTCGACGTGGCGGTGGGTGGCGGCGCCGGTGGTGGGCCTGTGTGCACGCCTAGCGCGCTGAACGGATAAAAATTGGTTGTTGGCGCCGGAGCGGGCGGCGGCGGTGGTTGCGGAGTGGTCCGGTTCGGCGTCGGCTCGTCGCCAACCATCTCGCTGCCGCCGCCGACACCGCCGACGGACGGGCTCCTCTCCGCGTTCGCGCCTGCCGCCGCCTTCTCCTCTGCCGTTTTGTCGCCGCCACCGCCACCACCGCCACCGCCGCCGCCGCTTGGTACGACGTTGCCGCTGCCACCATTCCTATCGGATGAAACCGCGGTCCCGCTGCCACCAGCCTTATCATCCTCAGTTCGCATCACTTCCACGATCTTGTTCTTTACGTAGTCTAACGGCGACAGATGAGGCTTGTTGGAGGGTGTACCAGAAGTGGATGTGGCAGTGGTCGATTCGTAGAAACGACGCCCGTAGTGATTGCTGGTCGCCTCTGGGGGCGAGACCGGCTCGACGGAATGCTGGAACTGCTGTTTCCCCACTGAGGAGGATGCAGATTGATGTTGCTGCTGCTGCGTCTGCTGCTGCTGTTGTTGAGCGACGCGTATTATCTGACGTTCATCCCCAGCTTTCACCGAGTCCGGCTCATTCATTTTTCGTCTTTTCCACTGATCCTCAGGAATTTGATATCTATGAGAGAGAAGAAAAAAGTCTATTTTGCTATTGCTATTTACAAAGTATATTTCTCAACCATTAAATACATATATCTACATGTATACACTGAAATTACAAAATGAAATTTTGTCTATCAATAATTTTACGAACATAATTGAATTTTACAGTAACAATTTTGCAGAATTTTGCAAACGTGTTTTCTAAACGTAATCTTCTTCGACCATATTATATATATATATACATACATACATACATACATACATACATACATACATACATACATACATACATACATACATATATATATATATATGTAT